AAACCTGATGACGCTCGCCAGGTTTTGAATTTCTACTCGTCATGTATGATAGGCCAAGAAGATGTCATAAGTCTGTGTGGTATACTGCCGTGCAAAAGAAGAACGCCGTATGAACATCCGAGAGTTGCCAAATTTCCTTCGATATAAGGTTTATTTTGGAGGAAAGTTATGAACGTTTTTCAAAGTTTGTGATTTCACGCATCTAGACTAATTTTTTTGTCAAGTCATAATTAATAGATGAAATAATGCAGAAATTCAAGAAAAATAACTTTCCCTCCACTGTGAAAGTAAACTTCGTGCTGCAGCATTTAAACGTCACCTTGGCTTACCATCAATGGGCATCGTGCTTTTCTACTTTTCTACTCCTGCGTTAAAGTCCCCTTGTGATAGACTCGGAACGGTGCGGTGCTGCGTAACACATTGGTTACAAACCGTAGACCCTACACTGCCGTGCTATAGAGAAACGCCGTATGAACCTTCAAGCGTTGCCGCATTTCCTTTGATAAAACACGAATTTCCCAGTAGAAGTATCAACATTTTTCATTGAGATTTTCTGGAGCTTTAGGTTAAATGGGGAACAAAATTATTTGAAAAATTGGAAGAAAAATATTCATACTTCTACTAGGAAATTCGTGTTTTATCAAAGGAAATGCGGCATCGCTTGAAGGTTCATACGGCGTTCCTCTATAGCACGGCAGTGTAGGGTCTACGGTTTGTAACCATTGTGTTACACAGCACCGCACCGTTCCGAAGTTTCCATCTGTTTATCAAAAACATAGTTTAAAGAAAAAAATTTTAAATAAATTCTGCTCAATGAGTGAATTAAATAGCTGCAGTAAATTAACTGTACTAAGGTAGCATAATAAGTTGCTTTATAATTAAAAGCTTGAATGAAAGAAATAATGTGAAACAAGCTTTTTAAACTAAAATGGTAAAAATTAATATTTAAGTGAAAAATCAAAGGGGACTTTAACGCAGGAGTAGAAAAGTAGAAAAGTACGATGCCCATTGATGGTAAGCCAAGGTGACGTTTAAATGCTGCAGCACGAGGTTTACTTTCACAGTGGAGGGAAAGTTATTTTTCTTGAATTTCTGCATTATTTCATCTATTAATTATGACTTGACAAAAAAATTAGTCTAGATGCGTGAAATCACAAACTTTTAATTGCTTTACATTCTTATCCTTTTTAATTGTCGTTTCCTTCTCACCTCTCGTCTCTTTCTCAACCTATATACATAATTTTGGTTTTTTATTACTGTGTTTTGTAAATTGTAGTATGTGCGTTTGATGATGGCGTTTGCCAAAATGTATCGGTACGTCAGATTAATATAATACAAAGCACTTACGTCAATTACCGTTTATAAGTGAACGGTAAATGCGATTTAACCGAAAATCTATACAGTTCTTCATAAGACCAAAATGGACAAAGTTACAAAATTTGAAGAAGCTAACGTAAATCTAACGATAGTTATCGTGAACGAAAGAATTGCTGACATAGGTCGGGTAACTATTATAGGTGGGATTATGTAATTTCATGCATGCGGGCTACATTTTTGGAAAATTCTTGTGAGAAATTGAATGGTTTGAATAATTTTGCAACGTTGGAATTGGGTTACGTTTCATCGTCCGAAATACGATGAAGAAGAAGTAAGCAGTTGCTGACTTTTATAAACTTATTGGGATGATAGCGGGAGACGCATAAACGCACACGAATATTGTGACTTAATTCCCTGGTAAGCTGACATGAGTGACAGGATATGTTTCGAATGTTTCGTAATATTCGTTGAGGATTTGGTTGCGCATCAAAAATGTGTAAGCATGAGAAAAATACCTCGAGATTACGTAGCACTGAGCCCGTGCACGGAACTACAGACAATTGGATTCTTGGTCGCCAGGAGCAGCAATTTGGCAACCCCGGATTCCCTCCATTTAAACCTATGCTATTTCCTGTACAAAGTATATGGTATCAAAATTTCACTGTTAAATGTTAGGTTTATACTCATCACTGTGTGGTTAGTATAATGCTGTTCCGGTTGTTCGGGGTCGGACACCGCAGATACCGGGAACTATACCGTTCTCTATGGGCTCTGCGATGCTCGTCCCAGGGCATCCAAGTTAGGAAAGAGTCTGTATAATTGTATATATTTTCAGTCGATAACCGTTATTTATTTTTAAGTTACATCTAAATATCTTATTTCTGTACAGAAGTTGATATGTTTAATAAATAAAAAAAAAAAAAAAAAAAAAAACCTATGCTAAAAAATCGATTCTTGTCGGAGCACATGGCCCCCCCAAGAATCGATACATTACCATAGGTTTAAATGGAGGAAAGACGATGTTGCCAATTCGCTGGATCCACCAATGTCGCCTGGACAAAAGTACGGAACTACATTTCAACATAGCGAAACACCTGCTCCCAGATTGAATTTATCAAGTTTTTAACTGAAAATGTGGCAGAGTTTTCATCTGATATCTGATTACATGTGAAATCAGCATGATTCGGGCAGCTCTTCTGCCGTGCTTAGGAAGAACGCCGTATGAACCTTCAGGCGTTGCCAAATTTCATTTGAAAAAAACACTAGTTGTTAATATTTTCCTTCCAATTTCTCAGATAATTTTGTTTGCAGTTTGATCTAAAACTACTGAAAATTTTAAGAAAAAATATTCATAACTCTCCTCAAACATGAACATTTTATCGAAGGAAATTTGGCAACTCTCGAATGTTCACACGGCGTTCTTCCTTAGTACGGCAGTGTTCTGCCGTGCTATAGAAAAACGCCGTATAAACATTCGAGCTTCTCGCCGAAGTTTCAATGTCTATTTTAAAGGAGAATTATGAAAATTTTTCTCTTAAATTTTCGGCTAATTTAGATCTGATTGCCAATATACTTCTCTGAATAATTGGTGGAAGATAATCACAGATTTCTTTTCATAATTTGTCAGAGGAAATTTAGCAACGTCTGAAGACTCATGCGGTGTTCTTCCTCTAGGTATGGTAGTATTGCACAGTTATATTCCTACATACATCGGCAAAAATTGTAGTTACATTTTTCAATCGTGAAACGACGTATTTTGTACAAGTATTAAAGCTTTGAAAATTGGTTGATTTGTCCTACTTCTCTCGTTGCCTTTGAAAAATGGTCGACCCAACAAATTCCCATAACATTTATCAAAGGAGGGGTGTCGTTAGGGGCCTTTTTTGGGCCCACCCTGAAATTCCTCAACTCCGCGATTTTTTGGTCATTGAAGGTCTATATTTAACGGAATTCATAATGGTTTGGTCATTTCCGATCTATTTCAGGGTCTACCACTAGCCTAAACAAGGGTCTGAAGGCCGATTTTGGCGAAAAATGCTGGTTTTGCGGCATTCAACGCGCTGTTTCATACCGATCCCTTCGGAGGACAAAAAAGTCCTTCAAGTATGTTCATTAGGGATGTAAGAGAGTCACTTTGGCAAATTTTCGTTGATGTCAAACTTTGCGCTCATAGTTAAAAAAATTTTTTTAGAATTTTCCTGTTTTTCATCATTATTTAAAATGGCTTAAAAAAGCGACTCATCTTACGCCAGAGTTTAATTTTTTTGGCAATAAATGGACGTGGGTGGTCAAAACCTTCATTAAAAACTTTTTCCGATTCAAAGGCCCCCCTAAAAGCCGGAGTTGCCATATTTCATTGCCTGACTTCACGGAAAACCTAGTATTTTAGAATTCGGAGGCTGCTCCTCACCAAGGAACATTCAGAGAGTTCAGAAACCTTTATTTTTCACACGCAGTGGCCACATTAGTAGGAATTTGATGCATGTTTTATCTATTCATGTATTAATCTCCCGCTGTGGCTCAGCGTTGCCACATGTTATTCGGGAAAATCGAGAACAATTCGCGTTTAGGTGGTTTTGCGCCATTTTTTTCAGATCATGCCTATGGAATAAATATATGAGAGGTACAAGTGGATGATATGTGCCGGTATTAATTCTTCTAAGATCATGCACCTACAGACAACCCATTCTCTTACGAGTTCTTGGAATGATGAAGAAAAAAGTGATGCGCCACAGAACTGGACAAAACAGCCTCATAAAGTGACTTCATCGGCGCTCCAGAAAATTGCGACTCTGTTATACTCTATGGTTTAACTGGGAGGACGGAATAAACGGTTAACTTGATTCATGATTCTCTGCGGTTAGAACAAAACAAACCCTTAGTGCATATAAGAATCTACTTTCAATGACAGCTCAGTAAAGAACACCGTTTGTCAAGAAAGTGATGATCCAGGTATGTACTGCTTGGTTATTCCATGACGAATAAAAGAAATTCTTCATCAGTTACTAACTCAGCAACCTGCGCAAAGAAAAAATGAGATAGATGGATAGATATAGATCAAAGACATAAAGACGGAGTGCTCGTATCTAAAAGCACGGGGAAAAAGTGAAGCTAGGTTCGGCGCTGCGCGTTTGTGTGAGTGTGTAAATGAGCGCGGGAATCCATGGCGGCAAACGGAAATTTGATTTGAACTTGTCCTCTTGATTTTTCCTTATTTCTTCTTCGAAACGTGTTTTAAATGCTTTAAACGATTATATTAAGAAAGTTCGGTCTGCGTCCTAATATATTACACCTACTTTTGCTCAGTAACAGGCAGTAATCTCAGATAAAGTTAGTTTTTCTTCTGCTTATGGTGGTTCTGCAGGTTCAAACAGGCCGTTACAGTTCTAGATCTACGTTACTTCCAAATGAAATCAGTCGGTCGACGACGGACCGAAACTAACCTAAAGTTAATAAAATATGAGTGTGTACCTGAATTTGGGCAAAAATCAACCTAAAATACTTTGTTTCCGCAATTTTATTTATTAGTTCCCGCCCTACATTTGAATTCAAACTTGTCCCGATTTCGCCGCCAATCCTCTAGCCAATAGTAGAGGTGATTGAAAAGAAGCTCTAGAAGCTTCATTTTTTGCTTTTAGTGCTCCGTCTTTATGTCTTTGATATAGATCCTCAGAGAAACTAACCTGAAACTCCTGAAAGTGATATGAGATGGAGGTTAATAATGACAGCTGTTCCTTAATAAGTTAAATCCCCAATGGTTTAAGGGCAGTTAATATACAAATTTCTCGTAATTTGAGAGTCAAATAATTGCAGATATACGAAAACCACCGACTTTAGAAAGAACGCAACGAAAACTCAAGAGCGGACAACGGGACTGCGAAGTGCGAACGACGATTTCTTTGTTTATGTTTAGCAGCCCATGTGCATTCGATGACGTAAACGATGCAGTGTTGCGAAACTTCACATGATGTATGGGCGGGAAACAAACCGCCAACCATTAAATTTGGCGCCAAAAAGAAAATTTTTGAATGAACACATGGATGACCCCAGAACCCCTGCTCGTAGGGAAAAAGACGGGATCGTTAAAAAAGTAATAATATCGACTGCAAAAGTTCAGTGCCGCGAAAAACTACACCGCATTATTTCGTTCGGTCTTCAGCATTAAACCGAATATTTACTGATAGTCTTCAAAAACGACAGATATATCTTTACTTGCAGCTGTACTGCAAGATATGGAAAATTTCCAGCAATAGGTACTTACTTTGCGTCTCTCGAAAATATTGGACGTGATAAAAGCCATTTTCAACTACTTTTTAATTGTTCTTAACGGCGTGCACTCATTCTGCTCATTATTCGTTTTTACTTTAGTTAAAAAAAGCAACACCCAACCTGAATTTAATATTGCCATGAAAACAGGCGCGTTGAGGTTGTTCCTTTGATAATAATTAAAGGTATTTTTGAAACACTATGATGAAACGAAAATTCCTAAAGTATCATTAGGTAATTATCAAGTAGAATCATTTGGTCGAGTTCATGGATTAATATGCAAAAGTTTCTCATGAAAAAGGATAAGAATGACTCCAGGATAAGTATTATGAGACCTGAGTAAAAATGGCGAAGAGAGAGACAAAATTATTGAAGACATTCATTGCAGCTATAGGTACTTTCGTTATTCAAACAATTCCTAAGTAGAAGAATAAATAATAATGCTTGATTTACCATGGAGTAATTCGGCTTCTAGAAAAAAGTGTTCTCAGTGAGCTGCTTGAGAACACTTTATCAAATTGCTATACCTGAAGGGCAAATTGTCGATGAAACTCGCAAACAAAGTATTTTGTTTGCAGTAATATTGTTTGAGTAAAATCTCCAATTTTATTTTTTAGAAGCACAAACCAACATCATTCCTTGAAGTTTTCACAAAATTTTCTTAGCACAGAAAAGAAATTGGTATCAGGGAAATTTTAAAGCATTGACATTGATTTATTTTCCCTTTGAAGAAATGAAGTATAACAGAAATTCTACAACGTCGCAAATCGAGATACGTGCTTTAGGAGTTTCACCATCGAAGTAAATGATACCACAGTCTCTCTTCACAATGACGAAGATACCGCAGTTACAGATGATATTTCTTTCTCTTGAAGTAAAGAGAAATTTCTCCAGAACTAAAATTTAATAGAGGTTGAAAAAAAAATCATCGACTGTTGAGTAAATCAACTGAAATTCATTTATTTAAAAACGTACAAAATTTATTGCACAGACTAAAGGCTTATAAAGAATGTCAATAAATGTACACAAATGCACAATAATTCACAACCAGACAATGGCATAAGTAGATTCAACAGACTGGAAGATAAGATGAACAATTGAAGGGATCTTCGCATCGAAAAAACCAAGGTCCTACTCAAAATTCTGTGGTAGGGGCAATTTTTCCCTTTGGAGGAACTGGTGATTCCCCAAAAGACAAATTGGAAACATTGGTTTACTTAGCTATTTCATGACAAAACATCAAGACCTTTCACAAAACTTTCTCCTGTGGGGGCCCCTAGCCTCCTGACTGCAACTTTAACCCAAGGTAAAAGGCAGGATGAGACTTGTCCCGGCGGAGATCATTTACTATCTAAAGTTCAACAAAAGAAGGCTGAATGACTTTTTTCTTTGACTAGATGAAAATCTTAAAGATAAGGAAATAATTGAATTTTTCAAAATTGCTGGTGATGTTAAATCAGAATTTATCACAGAGCATGTCATCTAGAGAATGGAATAGCAAGAATGGCAAGCTTATTTTCAGACGAGAGAAGGCTACCGACTGTACGCCTGAGATCTGGTTCAAATTATGTATGGATGTCCTGTGACTGGCTGACAGTTAAAAATAACGATAATAGTGTATTAGTTAGAGAGGGTTATGATGGTGATTCCTTACTTATCGTTTTCCTCAAAAAATTTAAATAGCAAACCATTTTCGAAAATATCTCATGAAAATGTTTTGAAAATATGTATCTCTATTTTTCAATCTTTTTCTTCTTCTTTTTTACAAACTGTTCGATGCATTTTATTTTCGTTTTCAGCACAAGAAATAATTTCGAAAAAAAGTGCCAATGATATGCTTGGTGTTGATGGAAAATGACAAATACAGAATTGCCATTCTAATTTTTTTAAATTCTTAAAAACAAACCCTGAACCTGGACCTCATGGACCTGAACCAAGAGTTTTGTAACTGCACGGAAAAAAGTAAATTGCTACAAAAAAGGACAGCAATATTTCAACATAGATTTCACAACACAAAAATGCTACTTTAACCACCCGCATGGTTAAATTAGCTTACAATAGTGGTTAAAGTGGCATTTTTGTGTTGTGAAATCTACATTGAAACATTGCAGTCACTTTTTTTAGCGATTCAATTGTTAAATCAGCAATTTAATTTTTTCTGTTTGAGTCTCTGAGTTGTTACAATCAACAAGCCATATTGACTGTATATAAAGCAACGCACATGGTTGACTCTACACAAAGCTCCAAAATTCGTTAGCAAAACTTTACAACTTTAAAAACTCATACCTCACAAACAACAGTGCACTGGCAGCTGAAAGAAGTGTGGATTGTTATTTCTGTCTGCCCTACCTCCATACCAAGTTTAAATAAGATCTGAGGAAGATGATCGGTAATCTCTACTTTCAGAGAGACTTTCAAATTGCGTTGAATGCTACACTTTAATACTCACTGTTGGCTAGAATAATTAGGTTTTTGTGCTCAATGGAAAATAAAAACAATAATAAAATCAATAACCAACTGAGTATCCTTAGAGAAGTAAAACAAAAAACCAGCATCCAGAGGAATGTAAATATTAATAGCTCAGTGCTTAAGCTGAGGGTATAGGGACCACAAAAAAAAATTGATCAGTTCGGAGGGCTTAAAGTTAGATGTTGACTCAACAAGGGCAAATGATCAAAAATAAAATGGTAAGAGTAGCAAATTAAAATCCCTAAATTTTAAAAAAAAAAGATCTTTGGCGATTTTTCAATTACTTGAGGACATCACCTTAATTTATTAAGGTTTCAGTCCCTGCGCTGAGCAATCCAGAGTAATATGCCCACACCTTTTTTGGGTCACATGAAAAACTTTCACTTCTGTACAGAAAACTGATGAGCAAGTACATATGTGCTAATAGAAGCAAAATGAATGGTAAAACTTTTACTATTCATTGCTATGATGAAACTTGACCTACTGTGCAAAACTTTTATCTAAATTAAACAATTTTACTAAATTTAAATGATATCTTTACATTATTAAATAGTATACTCGGCGATACATTATACTCCAACAAGAGAACCAGGAGAAAAAAAATTAACTATGTTACCTAGGCAATAATCAAATTTACATTTATCAAGTTTAGAATTAGAAGAAACTGAGTCTACAAAGTTCGATAAGACAACAGGCAAATTTTTGCGATCAAATATGGTTTACCATAAGAATTAGTGAATTATGAGAGGTTCTGATGCTAAGAGGATTTTTCAATTAATCAGGATTGAGACTGAATGGATCAACATGATGAACCGCTGAACAAGAAGCGAAAATCAAACATCCTGAATGTTTTCTCTTTAAACTTTCATGTAGAACGCATATTGTTTAGCAATAATGACTGGGAATAGCTCTTAACCAAAATGTTAGGTTCTTTGATGCATAAATTCAAACTTCCCGCTCATAGAAAAAACAATAATCCACTTGAGTTAATTCGCCTTATAAACATTATCATGACGGTTTTCGCAGTATGAAGATATGACAACCTCAGTACTAGCGCTTTGGCTCAGCTATTACACTTTGAGCAACACAGAGCAGTGAGGTAATATTGCTCAATTGAACGTATTTCTGCCAAACAGAACTATGTGCACAAAGACATGAGCCCTGAGAGCCATAAGGATACATGCATAACAGGGCTCACATCATAATGTACATAGTTCTGTATGGTAGAAATATGTCCAATTGACAAACCTACCAAAACCGTTGTGGTGTGCAATTTGATTCAAATCAACTCTGGTTTTTCATGTGAGCGAGAAAATCAAATTTCTCGTAACCAATGCTGAATATAAACGTTAGTATCTTGGTTTCGAGTTGAAATCAATAATTTTTGCTGCTTAAATCGTGCTCTACAATAATACATAATACATTGAAATTTTAACTTCCAGCAAAAAACGATATGACTAGTTTTAATTTTCGCAGATATTTGTCGAATTAGAATTTTACTACGCACTATTATACTTACTGGTCACAAATTAAGCAATGAAAGTTATCATTCAGTCAGCATACAGCATAATTTTTTTTCTATTCACAAGAAATAAATACTCAAGAGTTCCAAACGAAGACGAACACTGCAAGTCGCATCTTCCTGGTGAATAAAACCACATCTCTTAACTCTTATGTGTTGCATTTTGAATTTTTGGAGGAGACAAGCTGGAACTAAAAAATACCTATTTGATGACAAAAAAAAAAAAACTCAGGAAGGAAGGTTTTCATTTCCTGATACATAAAATGAATATTCAATTCCAGACAGTTTTTCCACTATCAAAGCTCCTTTTATCTAGTAGGTACCTCCTGCGTTCATTTCCTTCAACGGAGTGGCAAAACAACGATTTTTAAGGATTTTTTGGAGATATTCTTGAAGATTGACAAAAATTTTCCCGAGACCCATCAAACTAGCTGGTGAAGCAAGGAGTGAAACACTAATTTGCCTTATAACATTCCATTAATGATTCACTAGTACAGTTGGGCGAGAAATTTTCTAAAAAAAACTTAGGGAAGAAATGTTCAAATTTCTTTGAGATATGAAGAGCGTTCGATACCTAAATATCTAAACAAATGAGGAATCAAAAATGTGATATGGAAGCCGACCATGAAGTATAGCACATAGTAAAAACTTAAAACTAAAAACAAAGGAGCCGACATTTTAGGGCCAGACACCAGACTCAAAATAAACCGATAAGCAGATTTGAAGCATGTTCTGAAAATGAATATAACTGAACATCCTATCACTGTACGCTCCACTGCCAGCCCTATTGAAAACAGAATAAAATATTAGTTCGACTAAATTTTTTAAAATTAGTACAATACATTGATGATGATTCATGGGAAATAGAGTCTCAGTGCTGGGGAAAAAAACCCAGAGTTGGGGAAAAAAAAAAAAAAAATAGTGAGAGTGACCGATTCAACTCAGAGTGTGACTGGCAGAAATGGACCTTGAACAAGACTGTGACTCACAAGGGGAGTCTACGAAGTGACATCCTGGGATTGGGTTCATTTTGGTTGTACATGAAGAAGAAACAAATCTAAGGTTGACGTATTTTTTTTTAGCCGCCACCTCCCAACCGTTCTCGAGATATCGATTTTTAAAGTTACGATTTTTGCACGTTTCCGCGCGGAGTTTCGGCGAGTCAACTGAGCGCCGGCAGGCTGCACGAAGCCCGTTTCCTATCAGCGCTGCAGACCGGTCGTCCTTATCAATTGTTCCGTGGCCGAGTGGTAGCGTATACGCCTACCGCTTCAGCGAGCGCGGGTTCGAATCCCGCTTCGTGCCGTAGCTTTTAGGGTACGCCGCAATGCGTTTAATACAAGTTTTCTTTATTTTTATCACACACCAAGGGGTCCGCCCCCTGGCCGCTACGCGGTCCAACCCCCGGGGCGAAAAGGCCCGCTTCGCGCGGAAGGCGAAATCATCGAAATCGACCGTTGACGGTTACTGGGTGAATAATTTTAATTGAATGATAAAATGATGTTAATTTCAAATAAAAATTTCCAACCACACAATATTCTTAATTAATTTTTCCTTACTCTGAATTTGCAACCGTCAACGGTCGATTTCGATGATTTTGCTCGCCGCGAAGCGGGCCTTTTCGCCCCGGGGGTTGGACCGCGTAGCGGCCAGGGGGCGGACCCCTTGGTGTGTGATAAAAATAAAGAAAACTTGTATTATACGCATTGCGGCGTACCCTAAAAGCTACGGCACGAAGCGGGATTCGAACCCGCGCTCGCTGAAGCGGTAGGCGAATACGCTACCACTCGGCCACGGAACAATTGATAAGGACGACCGGTCTGCAGCGCTGATAGGAAACGGGCTTCGTGCAGCCTGCCGGCGCTCAGTTGACTCGCCGGAACTCCGCGCGGAAACGTGCAAAAATCGTAACTTTAAAAATCGATATCTCGAGAACGGTTGGGAGGTGGCGGCTAAAAAAAATACGTCAACCTTAGATTTGTTTCTTCTTCATGTACAACCAAAATGAACCCAATCCCAGGATGTCACTTCGTAGACTCCCCTTGTCAGTTTGATTGTGTAGACAGTGCTGATAGATATTAACTTTCGAGATTTTTCAAATTTCTAGTTCAAATTTCATCATAAAATTTCCTGAAAACGCCCAATTTCCAGACCAGTAGACTCCCTAAGCGTACTTGGCAACATGTTTTCTCATGACAAAAATATCAAGCAAGCTAATGCACGGAGAGCAAAAATTTGTTTGGGTTACATATTCCATGAACAGTTTGCTCATTTCATTGATTGTTAGCAAATAAAAATTCGCTTAAAGTTAAGGACAAAGCAAAAATGTTTACAAAAAAGTAAAATCGCGAACACATGGTGGTTCTTACTCACCCACATTCTTTAAAGTTGACACAGGCAAACTATTAGAAGGAAGCGGTAAAACAGGATTCAAATGGTGACTTGTCCACAGTCCAATGTACAGTCCGGCAGTAGCACCGAGGACCACTGCTGTATCTTGTCTGTCGGAGAAAAACAAGAGAATTTCAACAAAGAGGAAACTATTGTCATTCGACTGCTGCTTTCGGAAATTTTGTCATTGCTGATGATATTCAAGAAATGTGTTACTTAACTTCTTTCCCCAAGTAATAATGAGCTTCATTAAAATGTGGATAATAAGGGGTCCCAATTTGAAAGGATGATCATGTTGACCACCTAGGTGGTAGAAATAGGCAGGGGTGCAGACAATTCTCATATTCCTGATCCCTCACTCGCACATGGCAAGAGAAAATCTGTGAATTTGTGAAGAAATTTTTTGGTAAGGGGATTTTTTCCCCCTCATGACGGCAAAATGAGGAGAAAACAGAGACAAAGACGGAATTTTTAAATTTTTTTGCTCAAAATGTATTGCTTTGGACATTTTGGTGGAGTGAAGAACTTTTCCAAAAGTGAGGAAAATTTGAGGCTGAGATTGCGACTGGGTAATTTTTGCTCCAAAGAACATTCTGCGCATCTGCATATGGGTATTTTATGGGATGGAAAATTTTACATGCATTTCTAAAATAGGCTGACCCTGATCTTCCAAGGGAAAACAAAAGGAAGATTTACATCCTCATCATGAAAAGCATTGTAATTTAAGGATAGTGGGTTTTAGCAGCTCAAAAGGAAGAATAAAAAAAGTCAAAAGGCAACGGAAGTGCACTTTCGGCAGGAATCTGCAGAGGTTTTGAGGAAAAGTATGTTACCTAGAGGAGGTTAATTGGCTTCTGCCACCTTGGGTTGTTTCAACGAGCTAATGTACCTTTTTTTCAACTCTTAACAATGACCCAGGTTAGTCACTGACACCGCCCCTCACCTGATTTTTTTCAAGGCATGGGCTATAGTAGTCAAGATTCAAGAGCTTGATTAATTTTCTTGATAAATAAAATTAGCTGACTACAGGTACAACCAGCTCAGCTGGCACTTAATTGACTGGTTATTAAAAGTTCTTGGCTTCGATCAACTTTTAAATATTTCATGAAAGTTGACCGATTATTAAATGGGGTGCATACGTCCATTTGACTGAGAATCTACTCCTTGAATAGGGTAGTTGCGTGGAATTTTTTAAAGAAATTTCCAGTCACCGGAATTTTGAGAAAAAGGTCATCAAAGTCAAAAGCCATTTGAGACGGGTCATTTTCCGCGCTTCGGATCTAGGACTTCGTGACATCACATGGTATACACCCAGGTTTCCCCTACGTCAAATACGTGTAAATACGGTCTTTTTAAAAATTTACGAAAAATCGATTTTTTTGTCTACACTTGATTTCTTTGCGTCGATGAAAATTTCAGAATTTGATTAATAATTTTAAAACAATTTTGAAAGCTCTCCATCATGGTTTCTAAGTGAAAAAGGGAGTTGAAATTGAGCTTTTCGCAAATCTTCTGCCGCCACCAGGAAACGTGCGGTCTGTCAGATTCGGGTGCGCCCCGACTGCTTTGGCAGTGTTCGTGCGTTGTAGCCAATCAGAGCACGAGCTGGGCTCACTTGATGCCGGTGGCGCTGGTGACCAAAAATCATAACAACACCATAACATGGACTTGTTCTTTTCACTTTTCTACTCAAATAGTGCTGTGTTTGAGCTTATGATCAAGATACAGTTCTGGACACCTTTTGGCATGATTTCCTACAATAATTTCCGAGAAAAGAAGATAATTTAGACACTTAAAATAGCACAACAGATCACGCTTCGGCTCGGTAAACACACAGTTGAGATAGGGGTGATGGCTGTGGGCGGGGCCTTGTATACCAACTGACATCACAGCCAATAGAAATTGTTTATTTCTTACTGCGATTTTGCGACTTTTTGTCGAGCTTATTAGGAGCTTTCGACTCAATGTCGGAACTTGCAATTAAGAAAAACGGGTTTTCCGCAAAAAAATCTATTAGAAACAGTCACCAGATCTGAAATCCCAGCTGCATACCACTATCCCACTGAAACAGTTGGGTGGCAAGCAGGCTATTGTTGGGTAAACTTTGTCAATCACCCTGCTGAACACTCAGCTCAGCACAAAGTATAGCTGTCAACTGCCAATAAAAATTGTCCAGTCTCTTGAAGGAAAAGTTTTCACCCTTGCTGAGGCACTGATGAAATATCATTATTTGTCTCTGACAAAGAATATAGTTGTACTAAACTTACCGTGTGAGTGAATAAATACTGGATGGGTACAGAGCAACGCATAAACTGCTCACAAGTAATAGTGTTACTGGTGACCATGGGTTCGTCAAAAGGAACTGATCAAGAAGCTCTGGCAGTGGTAGAAACATCAAGAGAAAAAAAGCACCTAGAATCAGTCCTGCCACAATGTCCTGAAAAGGGAATAACAAAGAAAGGCATGATGAAATTTTTTACACTTTGAATGGCTGAAAGTTTCCTCAGCTACCTATTGGGTTAGTCTTCACTACATTTCTGTTAATTATACCTGCAAAACTTCATGATGTTGAAACAAAAAGAGGCTGTCTCACTGTCTCTGTGTCTGCAATTGGCAATTTTAAATTGTTTTTTTTTTTTTTTTTTTTTTTTTTTTTTTTAATATGCATCCATCAATTGAAAAAAAATAATTGAGAAAATTACATTGATTATTCTGACTGGTGAACGATTACATCAGGAATACAATTTCAGTCAGACACGTTAGTCCAAATTTTGAAAGTAAGGAAAGCACTAACATTATGTTAAGCAATTTATCATCATTTAGATCACAAAAATAGAGGAAATAGATATTTTGTCGGCTAGTAATAATTGGATCAATAATTTGGTCAAAATTAAATTGACTCTCAGAAATCAATTTTTTCTCGATAATCGCAATCACTAAGCATGGCTGAACATTCTTAAAAGGGTTTCAATAATAAACATTCCTGAAGAAAAAAGAGCAGAGAGGTTTAATAGGATGAAAGGCCTACAGAAAGCCTGTCAAAAAAAGGGCCCAAAAAGGCACTTTGTTTGAGGCAATCAGGGATTTTATTCAAAAGTGCCCTGATAGATACCCCATGTTGAGGTCATCAGCCCACAAAATTATTATTTGAGTTCAAAGTTCGTTTTGGCAATGCAGCATTGCAAAGATTACATTTTTCACCATTGAAAGTATTTTCATTTTGGAATTCTTCAGTTGAAAACAAACAACTCCAGTTGATTCCTTCTTTTCTGAGGCACAGCAACATCACCTAAAGATACTGTGCCTCAAAAAAAAAAATAAAGTGGGGGTGAAAGACATCATGAAGGCAATCCTGCCCCTGATAACGCTACTCACTACAGTTTTTGAAGCGCAATGTTCTTCAACACTGAAATTAAAACTTTCGAGTTTTGACAATCTTAATATTTTGGGCTGATCTAGATGCAGGACTCTGTACTAGTAAAACACAATTGTGTCGTGACCAACCCGTCTGGTTTGTGGAAGAAAGAAAACGTATGAAAAAATTGACTTACCAAGACAGAATGCATGCCCAGATACAGCCGGCTTAGGCATACCATTCCACAAAATAAGAGCGCTAGGAAAATTCCGTAGGAAATGTTGCACTAAAACAGAGACAACAGCTTTAGAAAGTAGGTATTAATGGGGCTTGAACTAGTGTCTTCATTTTAAGCGAAGGTCAAGTAGTCCCATGCTTAAATTTTTTTCATGATACTTACTTAATCATTCCGTTTAAATTTGTGTTCCTTAGGACATTGATGTCTCATGTCTGTTTTCCTGGGATATTGCAGGTAAATAAACACTTAGAGATTGTACGTGTCAAGGGGCAAAAACTTATAACTGTTACTCCTGTCACATTTTGAGCTACGCCTATGTCAAAGGCTTAAAGAATTTAAATTAAAAGCAATGAGGCATGAAAACTAATATGTTAACAATGAAATCTTTTTTGAAAATTAACTCTGCCATCTATCTCCTGCCATTCTTTAAGCATCAACATACCTACTGTATGAGTTGTTTTGTCATAAAGTCATGCACTATCGTCAGCATGTTATCGTTGCACGTGCATACCCTCAGCATCCATGATCTTTCAGACCATCGTATCAAGAAAAGGTTGCCAAAGGTCAGATGATTGGAATAAGATTATAATTAGATTAGGCTCCTCCTGAGAGAAGGTACAGACAGAAGAGAGGCTTAGAACTTTTTGCAACCTTGCTGGCTAGAGGCACTGATATTATTCATTCTGTCAATAATATGGATATCTGAAGCTTATGGAAAAACTGACTCGGGGAGCTTTTGGATTAAAAGAGGCAAATAAATATATAGTCACCAAGCTCAAATACTTAAGTTCAGAAATATGCATTACCTGATATCTTTGCGACGAGAAGTATAATAATGAAAAAGGGATCGTAACCCCAATGACTGCGTGTGTAGATGGCATCCCATATTCTTGAGCCCATTTCTTCTGGAGACAGTAAACTGGTGGGTAGGGTGGCCTTGGCCACTTGATGTAGTCTTTCATGGCTTGTCCTGGTGAAAAAAAAAAACCTTGAGTAAGAACATATTATATCTGACAACAACAATGGACCTTCAAAAAATGCCTCTGTCTTCAGTTTGGCATTGAAAGTAAATATAAAAATCAAGATAAAACTTCTTAGAAGTAAAAGAATACCCTTGGATTGGACCCTATCTTTCTCTCCATTATCAACTAACTCATTTCTTTGGCCTTTCACCTGTATGGTCATGTAATATCTAGGTGCCTCCAGAGAAAAGAACTGCTATTCCATGAGCGCAAAAATAGAGTTTGACTGTCTGTTGGGGTTCACAAAAAACATGCAATTTTTAAACGGCAAACTACTCGATGGCAATACTTTAAAACTGCCGTGCTTTTTCTTCTCTGTACGAAGAAAATTCTGCATAAACTTCAAGGAGAGATTTCAATTTGTTCTCCTTTAAAAAAATAACATAGAGGCGGAGATTTTCAGACACCGTAAACAAGATACGTGATTGCGGACTTAAAACACCGATTACTCTGATGAGCAAGATAAGTCAATTTTCAAACAGGACAAAACCAGTGAATTTGACATGTGTCAATGGTAAAATCTGAAAACTTGGAGTTTCATTTTGCATCAAGCAGATTACATATTCAGTACTTAGGTAGGTACAGAGCGTTCCTTCAAAGAAAACTTGAGGAAATTTCTTGAAATTGTGACCTCGTTGTCTGTGTACAGTACAAAATTTAATTTAAATATTCAAACAGAATAGTTTCTCACTCGTTTCATTTTAGCAAAACGGATGAATAGCAGAGATTCTGAAATGTTACACAGCGTGTGTTTCTGGACCATATCATCATCAATATTAATGCAATAGAGCTATTCCTACTCAGCATTCCTGGTCATTGGTGTAAGGTTAAATGTTCGAAACTGCGGAGAACACACAGGATCGTAAAGGGAGGACTTAAGAAAGTTGATTTTTTTACTTGAGAAAGTGAATTTATTCCAGGCATGGAATTTACAGTTGAATAATTTGGCATGTTATATCGAAATAAACAAATTTGTTTGGCAGAATCACATTTTAAATGAAGGAAAAAATTGATAAATGTATGTCAGTATATTGAATAAGAGCAGGTACGGGTGAAAACAGATGCAACCCTCCAAACGTAGCCCGGCGGCTTCCCTTTGTTCTCCGCAGTTATTCCTAAGTAACACTCTCACACGATTTCTCGAATGGCCAGCAGGCTGATTATTGCTTTGATTGGCCCGTTGGAATGCTAAGTAGGAATTGAATAAACCAACCAACCTGACGACAAACTGATGCACCAGATGAAAAGGATGCTTCTAGCCACAACGGCGTCCACATTCCAGAACATAAATGAAAAGAATAGGGCATAGAATAATTCGTCTCCAAGGTGAGTGCTGACCAGGAAAATAATGTACCACCATCTGTTTGTAATATTGTACTTCTTGGTTTCTGACTGAGTGGATACGGTGTTGTTGGGATCATTTGGACTGGAACCGTTACTGCTGTTCTCATAATTTGACTTAGGAACAGGCTGTACTCCAAAATATCGCTGGACACAAGCAACGAGATTAGGGTCCTTCAGATGTTCAATCGCGCCCCACATTTCCATCAAACTTGTACACGACATAGCAAACTTAAGGACACAAAATGACTGCACATAAATAAAAGAATAAGGAATTTGACTGATCGGTGGTTCTGAATTTTAGGTCGGTTAGGTGATCCATGACTGCCGACTAAAGGACTGAATACCTTTCTGATTCGCTGCTTACAACAAGGAAAAAGGAAACCACCAAAAACGATTAAAACTATGACTGGTGAAGGTATTAAAAAAGGAGATTTTGACACGATTGGTTGACACACTTGAGCAATACTTGAAGAAAGATGATATTCCGGGAGAGAAGACGGAGTTCATCGACGGCGCTCCTCAGGAATAAGTCGGTTACTACTTCTGAAGTCCTTGGCGCGACGATATGTTTTTGCCAGAGTTTAAAAGGCACACTTTACGAGTATCACTTCCGTACAAATTCCACATTCGAAGACTAAAGATAACATTGAGGACTACAATTACGTAAAAGCAAACAAAAAATTGCTAATTGCCGACAGATTGTTTATTTTTTGTTGGAGGTTAGGTTAGGTTGGTTCGACCACGACACTCAACACAAATCGGTGACTAGTCCCTACTGCTCATTGGCTACTCTGCCGCGCTAAAGAAAAACGCTGTACAAGCATTAAAATGTTGCCAAATTTCCTCTCGGAAAATATTTACATTCGAAGAAACTCATGAATATTTTTCCTTGAAACTTTTAGATGTTCTGGATCAAAGTACAACCAAAATGTTCTATAAAATTAAAGGAGAAATACTGGAGAGTTTACCAGATCATTAATGAGTTGTCAAAGGACTTTTGGCAACGGCTGATGGTTTATACGGCGTTTTTCTTAAGCACGGCAGTACTCTTCTACTACCACCACTGCACCACCACCACCACTACCACACAGGAGGTGCGATGTCCTCGATTACTATCAGTTTGTTTAGATTCTCTTCCCTCGTCAGATCATGATCACGGTTATGTAACTGATGTGTTTCAGCTTATCCTCGTTCCTTTTCGAATACATCCCCAGCCCCAAGAATCAGTGTTCGTCCTAGCATAATGATATAGCAGATCCATCACTATCCCACTTTCCGAGTTTTACCACCGTCCAAAAGTGCTCAGTTCGATTTCCCAAAAGAAGCACCGTGATCACGCGGATTCTGCATGCGTCGTGAGTGATTTTTCGAACGTTCGCCTGTTCTCTCAGGACTTGTGTTAGTGCCCATGGAAAAAACCACAAAATGTTCGCGGATTGAACAGATTTGGGAATCTTTCGTCGTTGCCGAGAACGAGTCTTTCGAGGTAAGATTTAGTGGTCTTTTTCACTAACTCTGTTCATGGAAGCATGAGAATGGGTCAGTCGCACTGAGTATGTGGTCAGAATAATTTCTCATCTGAACTATCAATTTTAGTCAGCAAGCATTCCCATGGACTGTCCAAACGCCAAGTTTTGAAGAACGAAATCCACGGAGGTATCTATTTCAAAGAACACAGCAATTAATGCCATCCAGTACTGCAACGTGTATCATGGTTTCTTCCATATTGCATCACTCAATCAATGCTGCATGTAATGGAGCTCTTGCAAGCATCAGGGATTTGTGGTTTAAGTATTTTTGGTATCATATGTTAATTTTTTGGAGAAACACGATTATGCCACTGGTTTTCTATAGAACAAAATTCCAAGCTCAAACATAGCTCTGAGAGTTGAGGCTGTTCTGTACGGAGGGGATCCTTCAGGCTACATTGAGACTCCACCTCTATGTCCAGTTGAACACTCCGAGCATAGGTACGGAGCAAATACAGTACTTAACAGGGTTGTCATTTTGTTTTAGAACTCCAAGGTTGGAACCATGGCAACCCTGCTGAAGCACGTGCTGCCTCTCGGTGCGTGGAGAGTTTGATTAGTCATGGAGGCAGCTCGCAGACTTCAAGCATAGCGTGGGGGAACTCCCTCATGACGGCTTCAGCTTGAAGAACTTCTTTTGAGCTTGGTAGTTATTTTCAGGAAAAACCAGTGGTACCATCGTGTTTCTCGCCAAATATTTCCATTTTAAAAGTACTTCTATCGCAAATTCCTGACTTATGCAAGAGCTTCATTGCATGGGCTGCTTGTCAGGCAAGACTTGTCCAACCTAAGTGTCAAAGAAATCATTGTATGCTCGACCGTTCTTAATTACAGAAATTACTGTTCATAATGCCTCTACTAAAATCAAATAAACACAGAAATGTGATAGCTGAACCGATCCTCTTGTATTTTGCTGCCATATATTTAAGTTTCAACCATTAAAACCTGACTATGATTAGTGTATATGATCTACATGAGTTGGTGCATAGCTGCATCCTAGTAATATTCTTTTTCTCAAGAGCTTTAGTCCTCTCGCAGTATAAATGTCATCAAGATTTGTAGAACTGAGTCATTGTATGTTAAGTCAAAAGTCAATCCCTGATTAGCTCTGAATCATTACCATTCAACAGGTTAATACATGCAGTCAGATGGCATCATTGATGAGTATTGATATACCTAAGTAATTCTTGACTTTAGTCTCAACATGTGATACTGGGTTCGAACCAGGTCTCCTAAATTTTCCACACTCTGCTGCAATTTCATTGATAATTATATAGGAGTATATGAGTTTTGCACTTTTGTGCTGAAATATGAAGATGCTCACCATGTAGCTAGTTAATGTTTGAATTCGTTTTTGATTTTTGATGAAAGTTACATTTAGCAAGCTCCGATTTTTCTCCTACAACTGAGGAAAGAAAAGATTGGACAAGTATCACATCAGAAAATGGCATTATTCAACAGAAATTTATGTGCTATAAACAATAGGCTGACTGATGATTAATGCATTCAGATTGATGTGACTTTTGTCCAATCTTTTCTTTCCTTAGTGCTGAGTACTGGATTTCATTCCAACGAAGTTACACACTTCCACAGCAAAACAGAAGATCTGCTTACCTGCTTTTCAATGCTGCAGTGAAGATAGCTAATCTTCTGTCATATTCTTAAATTGTGAAAACATTTTTGATTATCTTTAGGTGAGATAATGTGCCCTAAATGACTGTAAGCAAGAAACAAAGAGGGGACTCCGGCTAAAAAATTATCGGAATCTCTGTGAGCAAGTTCTTTATTCAACGAAGACAAGAAACTTTAAATACTTACTGTTCAAAAATTAATTTACAGATTTGAGGACATTTTTAATTTTTCCCAAAACTAAGTACATTTCTTAATGAAGTAAGTAGGCAAGCATGCTGTGGTTGTGCAAACAATTCACATTTCTGATGCTTCCATGAACTGTTTCATCACTTTATATTTTGAAGCTTTTTGGTGAATTTTAATTTGTTTATTTACTTATACTAACCTGTTGCGTTTGAGTACTGCATAAGATTGTAAATATTTTTGACCAATGAGCCAGTCGATCCATTCAATCTTCCTTAATCTCAATCTTGCATCTCTGCAATCTCTATCCTTGCATAATATACTTTCAATATCGGGCAGTTTTTATTCTCTCCGGAAAGAATCTCTCCCCTATTATTTCCAGAATGGCATTATCATCTCAAGTTATTATGTAGGTATGATCAGGGTTGCCATTTCCCCCAAAACTTAAAGGAGGCCAACAATTGTTGAGAGGAAATGAAAATGTTTTGAAGTGAGTGTCCCCAAAATATCCATCCCAAAATTCTGAGATGGAACGAATTTACTCCAAATTAGGGCACTTCTCCATTCGAAGAGAGGGAAGAAGGTGCCCTCCTGCCGTCACCAACTGGTACCCCCACTTATACTTAATTATTTTTAAAAAATTATGATAATAATCATAATTCTAATTGTGAGCTACGGTTTTTTGCAGTTACTCATTCCTGGTGGTATCAACTCAACATCAATTTTTTTTTTTTTTTTTAAAGTCATTGCCTGATTTTTGGGAAACTAACATTCTAGCATGATTTTCCTAGAATGCAATACTTTAATGGTCTTTTATTTTGGTTTGAATGTATGCCATCATGAAACATGCACTAAATTTCTCACACCATCCGTCTTAATGTCATCTAAAACACTGTACAGAGGTCTACTGATGGACCACCTGCAAATTTATCGCACACTTAAATTCCTTCCGATTTCATCAATGTAAACATGCGATTCTCACTTACGCGCGGGTTCTGTGGTGCAAAAAATTCTCCCTTGACCGCGAGACCGGCCGGTCACGATCGGTCTCGTGTGAAAATCAGGGTTGCCACAGTCAGGAAATACCGGGAAATGTCAGGGAAAAATTGTTGGGTCATACCTTTATTTGCTGCCTCGAACGGATTCGACGTTTCATACAACACATTTTGCCTGAAAACTATTTCTAATAATGTCTTGCTAACCATCTGGCGTACCTTCAATCGTCAGGGAATTTCACCAAAATGTGTCAGGAAAATCAGAGAAATGTCAGAGAATTTCGTATCCTCAATTCTGTGGCAACCCCTGACTATGGGAAGGCGCCGAAAACGGTGTTTTTAAACGGGAAAGCCGGCAAAATCGTGTTGTCATCGGCGAGACAGCGGCGAAAACCACGTGTTCCTCGCAAAATCGCAATACAAATCACTTTCTTTTCTCCGCAAAGTCGTGGAAAATTACACGTACAGAGCCGTACAATAGTTATTTTTTTTTAATTTCTGCGGAAAAAAGTATTTTTAAAATGGGAAGGCATAGAACTTTCCGCATCCGTAGTTCGACGGATGATTACGTAAGTTAGAGCGAGAGTCAGGATTTAGGATTCAAAATGAAGGAAGCTGAGGGGGGGGGGGGTTGGATCAGAAACTGGGGGAAAATGCGTTACGTAACAGTAAGTAACCGCTTCATACAGGTGAATTGGTATGCGGATACCGAAGAACAGCAACTGCAATTATTCAGGGTCAATGACGTTGGCTCGTAAGTCGTAACCTGCCTGAGATCTTTCCATGAATAGTAGAAAGTAAATTAAACGAGCAGATTCAGAAGAGGGTCAAGTGTGTAATCGCTGTTTTAAAATTCATAGGCGAGGAATTCCGCCGTGTTAAAGAAAAACACCGTATGAGCCCTCAGGCGTTGCCTAATTTTCCTTATTTAAAACCGATTTTAATGGGGAAATTCTGGATATTTTTCTTCCAATTTGTCAGTCAATTATATTCGCAATTTCGTCCGTAATATCTGGAAAATTCAAGAAAAATCATGCATAGCTTGCCTCTCAAATGCATGTTTTATCTGAGAAAATTTGGAAACTCCCGTATGTTCATACGGCGCTCTTCCTCGCAGGGCAGAATTGTCGCATGAATTTAGTCTTCTTTTTATTTATATATTTATTGTTAATTCACTTAGTTCCTTTTTTTTCAATTTGATTAAATGCTCAAACCTCCCTGTCTTCGTGCAACGTCGACGTATGAATGCAATGAGAGACATACCATTCTTACCACGAGCGCAGAAAATTTGAATGCGTTCCGCCTTTTTTGTCTTGGTCTGGATGCAACTATTCGTGTTCGCGGGATATCCGTGTTGCATACACGAAAAATTTCAGGCGCTCTAACTTTCTCCTCTAAGAGTGCGGAATCACTTACGTCAATCTCTCAAAATACTACAGAAAACATTTTCGCAATTTGCACCATTTCGCTACGTTGCCATGGTGCTACATGATTCATGCGAACTTCGAGGATTTCATAGTAAGCACGATCGTCAATAGAACGGAGAAAACTCCTGAGAACCAACAACCACAGCCGCACGTTGTTCCTTACCAAACCAGAGCGCCTGCGATGTTTCGTGTATGCAACATGGACATCCCGAGAACACGAATAGTTGCGCATCCAGACGTGACCATTGAAAAAGCCGGAGCGCCTTCAATTTTTTCTGCTTAAAATAAGGAAATGTGTCGCTCTTTGCATCCATACGCCGTCGTTGCACAAAGCAGTGGCAATTCAGCAGGCTGGTAACACCCTTTTTCATCCATTTAAATCCACTGAAAGTATCAATTTTAGGTGGGGGAAGCTGCCTCACCAAAAATCAATTGTTTCACATATATTCCAATGGAGGAAAAAGCAATGTTGTCAGCTTTCAAGAATCGCCACTGGCACGAAGGTAGAGCGGTGTGTGTATTCAATCGAACTGAAAAAAAAACAAAAAAAAAACAAATAAGTAAATCAATAAGCGATGTTGAAGAATCGATCATATAAAATCGATTCTTCTCTGTAGGTTTAAATGACAGATTAGGTAATCGATTCATCGCCAAGCGCGACGCGCCACCGCGCGGCAGCATTTGCATCTGCGGCTCGCGCTTGCATTCCTGCGGGTTTTT